ATACTACTTTGTTATGGAAGCCTTAGGAAACCAATTTAGCCACTCGATTTTTGAGTGTGTGTTTCCATTATCATCCCTAGGAGACATATTTTATGAAAGGGGGCAGACTCTGTCTTGTTATCTTCACCTAATGTCTTTTCTATATAGTTCTAGCGACAGTCATATCAGATATAAAATCAATTTTGTTTAGCTGTTCCTGTGCCCCTTGTTTTTCTATTCTTTGTTAGTAGTTGGGTCTTTTTTTTAGGGGGCTGATATATTCCATCCCTTACTATAGATTTACAGAGAGGTTATTCACTTAGTAGGGAATTTTACAGGAATTAAGGCCCATTATTTTTATTTCTAATTAGCTCAGTTGGGTTGTTTCCTTTTTAAAAGTTATACTAATAATCTAACCAAAATGGAAAATTTGAATATACACGAATATAAATGTATTTGAATAAACACTTATATATATAGCTCCAGATTTACCCAGGATTTAAGTATTTATCTAGGAGAATATTATATTACTTTTTGAGTTTTCAAGAATAACTTAAATAATAACCTAGTGGCCTAAATTTATTACAGGTTCTAAAGGTTTCTAATATAAAACTGGGAAGTAAATAAGATTACTAATATTATTCAGTTTTTATTTGCTTTTGGGCAGCAACATCCATATAATCTATGAGATAAATATTCTCAGTTATAATTTCCACAAGCAAGCAATTTTTCTCTTCATTCATAAACTGCCCTTTGGTATATGGATTTTGTCATACTTCTTAACGTTATTTTGCTTGGTAAAGCTACTCTTAAATAACAAACTCATCAATCATAGATTTCTTGAACTTTCATAACATAATTTGGCTCTTAAATTTATAATCCTTTTGCTGAAGGTAATTTAGCTTTTAAATGTACAAATCCTCTTGCTCGACAGACCAAGCTATAAAGTGCTGGGATGATATAAAGGGCAGAGTGTATTCTTATAAAGCACATGACTGGCAAGTCTTAGATGTGATCAGGATGATCTCAGCATTAAATTTGAGAGGAGAAAGAAATGTTCTGATTAAAGTAGATGAAAGGCCCAGATATAACAGAGGAGGGCCAGAACCAACACCTTTGGCTTCAGATATGTATCTTCTAATGTATATAACTTATGTTAAAGGAAACCTGAAATTTTAATAGAAGGCAAATATAGTTTCTAATTGAATAAGTTATATACACATATAATATATTCTGAAATATTCCTATTCCTGTAACTTGATGAGAAAGTAATCGTATCTGAAATTTAACAAATGGAAAAGTACATTTTGCATGATTGAATTGTATCTAATAGAATGCAAGGGTAAGTGATTTACACTCAAAGGTAGTCTTTAAATCTAATGGTGACAGTGTTGGGCTTTTGGGTGAGAAAGAGAAGCAGAAATTCTGTCCTTGAGGAAGGATTTCATAGTCTATTTAACTAGGGAGAGGCAAGGAAACATGTTAGTTCCTTCAAGAAGGAACTATGCCATGATCAATGATCAATTTTATATGCACTATAGAACTTTGTAGACTTCCTTTCATATAATAATTATTCAAAAGTTGTCGAATGTCTGAATTGGCAAAGAAGTGATAGGGCATTAGCAGATATAATAACCAGGCCAGGGAAATAGGCTTTTTAACAGTCAGAGAGAGAGAGAGAGAGAGAGAGAGAAAAGCTTGATTCTTTGACCAGATTGCAGTTTATTAGACCACAAAACTTCTTCATTCTGACAATATAATAATAAAGTACATTCATGTGAAAGAAATATTTCAATGGCAATAAGGTACATATGGCCCTCCAGTAATAAACCAACTGATGAGACCTCACTGAAAAGGACTGTGTATCATAGAAGGATGACATAGTTGGTGAGAGGTGGGAGGGAATCCTGAAAGAAGTTGAAGCTAGGTAAACCTCTATGGATGGAAGACAAACCTATGTCCTATTGGGGGTCCTGGTCATGGAAATGCAAAGGTCGAAGATACTCTGCAAATCCAGAAGCAGAGTTGCTTTCAGGAATAGGCCTGAAAACAAACTTGGAATGAGCTGAAATTTATGATACATGTCAAAGACTAAAGTGACCTTGGGAAATATCTGTTCAGAATAATGAACAGTTGGTCACAGTTTCATCTACTGTTTTCTTCCATGTTCTATGAAATGTATAGCACAAACAGGGCTTTAACGAGTTCAGGCCCCCAGTCCAGATGTATATCCCAAGGTACCAGAGTAATTATCAAAACTGCTCTCGGTAATCTTTAACTACTCATGGAGAATGGGTGAAGTGCCTAGAAGACATTACTTTCCAGAGAAAGTTTGTGGTTTACTGTTGCAGACATTATAGCTTTTTATAAAAACCCTTTCTCTTTCACAGATACCTAATTGACATTGGAGGCTTATTTATGTAAATTTTCTCAAGTTTACCTTACTGGAATTTCTGTTGTATCCCATGCATTTTGACCTATAGTTTTCTTAACAGGTGTTATACCTTTTACTTTTATTTGACTAAAATATTTTTAATAGTATTTTAAATTTCCAAGCAGGTAAGAATATTTCATCTAAACATTTCCTATTAATTCCAGTTTAGTTGTAGTGTGGTCAAAATGCAGTTTGCAAGTTTTCTGATTCCTTTTTCTGTAATATAATAAACATATAAATGCTCCATACACTTTTAAAAATGAGGTTATATTTTTAACTCTTGGTGTTCAGAGCTTGATGTATGTCAATTAATGTAATTTTGTTGATTGTATTTAAATATTTTACTCTTAACATTTTTATTTGACATTGTCATAGATTAAGTAATTTGTATTTTATCTATATTTATATATACAAAATATACTCCCCAGAGTTGTGTTTGTAACTAATATAAATTTTTCTTTATATAGTTTTATGGCATGTAATTTCCTGTATGAACATTCATGACAGTCCTTTCACCATAAAATTATCTTCTACCTCGAGGCCTAAATTTGAGGTTCTCGTCCCGGTTTTATATGTTAATATTACTGCTTTTGCTTTCTTTCTTGTTCATGCTTGCCAGTCTTTTATATTTCACCTTGGTGTCACTTTGTTTAAGGTATGCCACCTGAAACCGTCATGTCACTGGAATTTTACAAACTTATTTTATTTTCAATAAATGAATATAAGTATAATCATTTCATATTTATAACTGTAGCTATTATGCTTTGTTTCTCTTTGCTCATCTTGCTTTATGGTTTCTTTTTATTAATTTTTTTCTTTCCTTTTTATATAAACTCATATGGTTGTTATCTTCTGCAGAGATTTTAAATGTTGGGTTTTCTTCTCAAAGTTTCTCAAAGACTTTCTTAAAACGTGGTAAATTATCAAATGACTTCACAGTTTCCCCTTTTCTGTAGTTCAGAGTCACTTAAATTGGGGCTTACCATCTTCTCCTACAATGTCCACTTTCTAAGATAAGACAGCAGCAGTTTGAGAGACAACATCTGTGTACCTTTTGGACAGTGCATTCCATTTTTTTTCAGTAGTATTTACACTATATCTTTTAAAAATCCCCCAAGATTGCTATCATAAGAACTTAGTTCTTCTCTACTTGTCAGTACAGATTCAGTTCTCTCTCTCTCCCATCTTTCATATTTCTTTTACCATTTTAGTAAGGGAACTTGACTTGGATGGGGCAGGAAGTGAGTCAAATGATGTACAGTTTAATAAATGGAAGTATTTATGTCTGTAGAAGAGAAAATGTAACTGGAATATAAAGGCTACCTTCAGATACCCAAAGGAATACCATGTGACCCAATAAATGGACCACCCCTGTGTTAATTAGTAGGCTAGTAGTACTAGGACCAGGGTAGGCTGATTAAACCTGTCCAAACTGATGAGAGAAAGATACTTTCTTAAATTTGGAATCGAGAATTTAATTTCTAAGATTCTTTCTAACCCTGTTGATCTGTTGATGTAAACAAGGTTGAAATTTTTGAAATGTGAGATACAAAAGAGATTTTTTTCCCCAGAATTTATTATGTATAAGAATTGAATGGAACTCTTGTTAAAATGAATATCTGAGCTCTAAAGTTTTTATATATTTAAGTTTGGGCAACACATTCTTTATTGATAGTAACCATTGTTTTAAAGTGTCATTATTATTATTATTATTTTTATTATTATTATAATATGATACATTGGTTTGAATAAAGAGTAAATGCAACCTCTCTATAACATTTGCTGCTATAATTTAGGGTTTATATAGAAATGGAAATTGGTATCTAAGTGAATAAGTAATTGAAGTCAACAGTTTTACATAAAACTGTCAGTTTGGTTTCTCGGTGATGCAGACACCAAGATGGAGTTGGAAGTAAAAGATAAAGGGGAGAGGAAGCAGAGGAAGGCAAGGGAAATCTTCAGACTGAGGTGAGGTTTGACACCTGTGGAAGTTGAGAGGGGAAAGGAAGGAGGATGAAGTGTGAAGAGTCTTGGCTCAAAAAAGTCCAAACCAGGCTCATAGTTGGCTCCAATACGACTGACCACAGAAGACACCTTTGTTGGGCCGACACGACTTGGCTCTGAGTCCCTCAGGGTCTCAGTCATTGATGAGAGAGCCCTGTGGGCAGAGTGGAGCACATCTGATGTATTGTGACTGGAACTGTCAGCTACCTGTACTCCTTGTGGCAGGTACTCTCCTGAAGGGAGATCTGAGCAGTGCACATTCATGGCTGCCACAACATCCAAGTCATAATCTTTTCAGTGCTGAGGAGTGTGCAAGCTTACTTGGAGGCATAATTTGACATCATTGGTACTGATTTTCTTGACTTCTGTTTGTATGACTCTGCTTTTATTGTTTTAAGTCTCTCAACTTTCATTTCATCCTTTTTATCACACATAAGTGTATAACATGAATAATTCTATTCATGTCTAATTTTGTTTAAATTGATGCAATAATAAAATACTCTTTGTCAGAGTGTATGGAAAAAATGCTCTGTAAAGATGTGGAATTTTAAAAACTCAAGGGTCTTTCATGTTCTTTCTCCAGTCTGGCGGCAAGAAGAACTTACACGCATTAACCAATCTTTCACTGGAGCTGAAAGGAAGGCTGCTTTGTGTGAAATTCTGGAAAAAGAGACTCAGATAATTGCTTCCATTGGGAGACATAGATACGTCGCTAATATGGAAAGTCAGGAAGCAGCAATACAGGCCTTTTTGGATAAGGTTAGTGGAATAACTATTATTTTAATATGAATGTATCCTGAGTTTAAAAATGTAGAGTAATAAACAGAAGGAGACACTCATATGGTAAGAAGTTGTGTGAATTTTGTTTTATCTTTTCATGACCTATTTTTTAAAATTATATCTTTTTCTTTTGGTATAGCTTTAGATTTCAACTGCAACCTAGAATAAAGATTGACAAGTAACATGAAATTAATATGTTCTTAACTAAAGGGATTTGGTCATGAAGGAGAAGATAGAGACAACTTTCTTGTGACTCTCATATAGATTTAGGCTGGCTATATCAATTAGATGAGTTGCACACTATAAGAAAATGCAGAGGATTAAAGTTACAAACTGTCTAGGCCTGGGGTGCCCCAATAGTGAGCAACCTGGGGGAAATAGCTATAGATTAGTGTTTCTACCTTGGCTCATCACATCACTGATTGCAAATTTCTGACCAAAAGAATATATGATTATTAAAAGCCATGAAAACATACAATTAAGGGAAAAACTAAAGTAATTACCCTTTTGTGGTCAACCTGCCTGTTTGATATTGAATAGCCTGTTTCCATAGTGACCAATTTCCTTTTATAAACCTGCTCTTCCCAAACAATTTAAACCCAATCCAGCTATAGACGAGAAGGGATGCATTCCTCCAAGATATTAGCCTGTAGTGATTCTAGTTCTATGATTCTTATTACTTGAGAACATTTGCTCTTAAAAATCGTGTTTCATTTTGATACTCTAAATGCTCTCCTCTCACCTTACTTATACATTCCCCTATTTGTTCTCAGTTTATTCGTGGCTACAACTACTAACTGAATCCTGGAACTCCCTACAGTTCCAGACCAGACCTCCCCAGGGAACTTCCAAATCATATATCCATTGCCTACTGTCATGATTCTTTGGATATCCCAAGAGTACACCTAAGGTGACACGGCAAGCCCTGGGTTATATCATCTCATTATCCCTTGCCCTCTCACCTCTAGACTGATCTTGTTCTGTGGCACTCAAATCACCCATCTCTATGAATATTTCATTCACTTGCTCCAGAGAGAAACCTGGGTGTTATTTTTTATTTCTCCACCCAGTCACCAATTTGTTCTATTGCTTTAATATTTCCTTATTTTTTTACTTCTTCCTTTCCAAACTCACTACTGCTGCCTGTAGGGAAATGCCTGTGCCATGGTGCCCTGACGATCTTGCATGTGTCAAATGGGCTATGTAAGTAAAAACTTAAACCACTGCTAATCTGAGTCTTGTCAGAATGTCTTGTGATCTCTCTGGAATACAAGAAGATGGGAAGCTGCTGAGGAGCTGCTATGGAGTGACTCTTCCCTTTTCCCTCCCTGTCTCTCCTGGGAGGATGTCATGAGGTAGACCATGCCTTGTATTCTTGAGCTTGACTCTGGTTTAATGAATTTGGATTTTCTTCTCATGTGGATTACTTTTAAATTCCTAAATTGGTGGCTGGGCACAGTGGTTCATGCTTGCAGTACCAGCTACTTAAGAGGCTGAAGTGGAAGGATTGCTTGAGGATAGGAGTTTGGGACCAGACTGGGCAACCTAGCAAGGCCCCATCTAAAAAAGAATAACGATAATGCAAAACATTAGTCAGGCATAGTGGCACATGCCTGTAGTCCCAGCTACTCAAAAGGCTGAGGCGGAAAGATTGCTTAAGCCCAGAAGTTGGAGGCTGCAGTGAGCTGTGATTAAGCTGCTGTAATCCAGCATGGGCAACAGAGCGACACCCCATCTCTAAAAGAAACAAACAAACAAAAATTGGGCTATTACCTCTAGTCTCATTTCTCAATTTCCTCCTCTATCATTCATGCCACTGCCATGGTGACTTCACTAAATACAACTGAACCTTCTATACCCATTGCTCTTGGGGAACAAGAATTTTCATGATCTGTTCTCTGCACATCTCACTCCTCCCACTGTTGTCACTGTCATCTCTCCTTGCACACTGTACCCACACTGTTCCAGCCATGGTCGATTACTTGTACGTCCTCAGAAAGACCAAATGTGCTTGGTGCGTTTGCATCTGGTGATGCCATCACATGGACCATCTATTCCTTCCTTTTTTAGTAGCCAGCTGGTGACCCTTTGATACAAGCTCAGATGCCTCATCTAGAAGTGAACTGCTGATCCTCCTACTTGTATGTATTGCTCCCATGAGACTCTACCTCACCTGTCTTTGTACCTAGTGGTCAATTTTTATTGTATCTATTTACATGTCTGAATCTTTCCTAGATTCTGAATGTTTTAAGGGAAGAACTGTCTTTCACCTATCTATCCTCATATCTTAGCACCATTCTTATCACAGAGATTTGGTCAATGGTTGTGGAAGAAGGCAAGGAGGAAAAATAAGGGACAGAAATTGGTTGTATAACTCTATATTTCAAGTATTATCAAGAAATTATGTAGTATAGATGCCGTCATTTTAAATTCTTGAATATCCCAATTCTAGGAAAGATGAATGTACTGTAGGGAAGCTATGACAATCATACTTGTCCCAAACCATATTTTGAACTAAACATACCTGTTTAGCAAGTTGCTTTATCTTGCATCCAGCTTCATCAGTGGGAACTGTGTTTCTTATGTGTCTGATTGTTAACATCACCAGAGAGGACAGCATGGAATCAGGGCAACTTGAGTATTTGAAGGAGCTGGAGGACTCTGAGTGCCCGTGGACAGGGAGCGTATCCTTATTAGAAGCTGGACCTTCTGCAGGATTTCCCACGTGTGCTATTATGCTGTTTTCTGTTTCCTGTACACTATTTTACAAGTTCTATTGTAAATACTTATACAACCTTGATTCTTCTTTATGCCCAGAACACTCCCCTCCCCAAGTCCCATGTCTAGCATTGTCTGTAAAAATTTTTTTTTGACTGTTGAAACTAAATATTGAGTCCATAAATGAATCAAGGACTAACATATAAAAATGACTCCAGGGTCACTGGACTTGGTGGCTCAGCCTGTAATCCCAGCAATTTGGGAGGCTGAGGCCAGTGGATTGCCTGAGCCTGAAGGTTCGAGACCAGCCCAGGCAACTTGGCGAGACCTCGTCACTACAATAAAATAAAAATATTAGCCGAGTGTGGTTGTGCATACCTGTAGTTCCAGCTACTTGGAAGGCTGAGGCAGAAGGATCACCTAAGCCCAGCAGGTTGACGCTGGGGTGGCCATGAGCGTGCCACTGCACTCCAGCCTGGGACTCGGATTGAGACTCCAACTCAAAAAAATAAAAAATAAAACAAATAAATGAAAATGACTCCTGAGTCAATTGATGATTATAGGAGTCTTCATATATGTAAATCTCACAAAAAAAGATGAAAAGGAGAAACTTTGTTCACCAGAATTCCTATGAGGAAGGAAGATCATTTAAAAAAAAATTTTTTTTATGGTGGAGTTTCATGCTGTTACTCAGGCTGGAGTGCTATGGTGCAATCACAGCTCACAGCAGCTTTGACCTCCTGAGTTCAGGATATCCTTCTGTCTCAGACTTCTGAGTAGCTGGAACTACAGGCATGTGCCACCATACCTGGCTAATTTTTTTCTTTTTCTTTTTCTTTTTTAGAGATGAGGTCTTGTGGTGTTGTTCAGGCTAGTCTCAAATTCTTAGACTCACACAATCCTCCCTCCCACCTCAGTCTTCCAAAGTGCTGGGATTACAAGCGTGAGCCACTGTGCCTGGCCTGTTTTGGGGTTTTTTTTGGAAATACTTTGATAAGTTATTGGGATGGAATTGGAGACCCTGAAAGATCCCAAGTACAGGAAGAATTACTTTGTGCCAGGAAAATGGAGGTTTTTTAGTGTTATCCTGGAGAGAATGAGGGAAGGCAGAGTGAGAAGACGGTTAAATGACAGAGGGCGCATAACATGACTTTTTGAGACTTTGTTACTTGTGTTACTTACGTTACTAAATAAAGGAAATATTATGTGCTATGTAATTTTCCTTTTGGAAGAGAAATAGAGGTGTCCACACTGATGTACACAAGGATGAAAGGCCAAAAGGTTGAGGGAAGAATGGAGAAGTTAGGGGTACACCTCATCAACAAGGGTACCTACATAATGAATATTTGTATACTTAACCCTGAATTTTATCCCACATATTAAAAAATTTTTCTTTTAAAAAGAACTTGTAGGAATCAAGGTGAAGGTTTCTTGTGGGTCACAGGTTTTAGAATTGGAATTCTACATCCACAATTATTCCAGTTTATAAACCACTTAATCTCATCCATCCCCAGGCTAAATTAAGAGAAAATAGACATTTTAGCTGATACAAGAGGATTTTATCTCATTTTTGACCAAAGTGTTATATTAGAGCAGGAAAAAACAACCACAGAATGACACAGCTACACTTGAGGGCAATCCTCAGTCCATTTATATAGCCTAATTGGTCCAGTCTGTAAAAATATTGAGTAGTCGTGACCTTTCCCCTGCTTCTAACCTAATAGTCAATAAAAAATTCATTGCCACTCACTTTTAATCACCTTTTTGTATGTGATGCCATACTAAGACTCTTGGAAAATAGGATACACTTTCAGTCTCTTGACATAAATTTTACACAATGTCTCTTCCTCTTTAGGTATGTCTCACCTCCTCCATCCCCATTCCTTGTATTGTCTCTAATATTCAGGAGTCAGTGTTGATTTCATAAAACTTGAACCAAGGAACTTATTTTATTTTTATTTTTGCCATATGGGCTTATTTTATTTAATTCTTTTATTTTAATAACTTTGGGGGAGGTACAAAAATAACTGATTATTCTAAGGTTTCTTTTTTTTTTATTGCTAAGAACAGGGATATAATTACTCCCTGAAACTAGACAAGGTTAGAGTTTTTTTAGATGTAAAAATCAACAAACAACCAGAGCCATATACGAATTTTAAGATCTATATTTAGAGCCATCATGTATAGATATACAAAGAGAAATCATTTGTCTTCCTATAATTTGGTAACAACTTTAGAAAATACCAGTTTATATTTTGATTTTAGTTTAATGCTATTGAGTCCAAATATGATGTGGTTTATGGAACAAGTCTTTTATTTTTAATCTTTTTATCCTGGACATAGAATGTTTCTGAATAATGAATGGTATGATTTTAAATTAATCCAGTCAAGGCATTGAACTAAGAAGCTATAATAGACTCCATAATAAGCTCCCTCCCTCCCTCCCTTCCTTCCTTATTCTTTCTTTCTTTTTTTTTTTTTTTTTTTTTTGAGTTGGAGTCTCATTCTGTCGCCCAGACTGGAGTGCAGTGGCCGCTCCCGGCCACCGCAGCCTCGACCTGCTGGGCTCCGGCCGATCCTTCCACCTCAGCCTTCCAAGTAGCCGGAATTACAGGCACGTGCTACCACACCCGGCTGATTTTTTGATTTATTGTAGAGATGAGGTCTCGCTGCCCAGGTGGGTCTCGAACTCGCGGGCTCAGGCAATCCACTCACCTCAGCCTCCCAAAGGCACGGGATTACAGGATGAACCACCAAGCCCGGCTCTCTTTTTCTTTCTTAACTTTAAAGTTGTGGGCTACATGCGAGGATTTGCTGCATAAGAAAATTGCATGCTGGTGAGGTTTGGGCTTCTAGCAAGTACTCAGTGAGTGGAACTCAATGGGTGGTTATATGCCCACCTCCTCCCTCCCTCCATTAGCAGTGCCCAGCGTCCATTTTTCCCAGCTTTGTACTTGTGTGCCCAATGTTTAGGGCCCACTTATGAGTGTAAGCTCTCATTTTTAGTAAAAGACTGACTCTAACGATTCTTTGAAGCATTAAATAATTGGTAATCTTAACACACCAAATACTGACTTCCATAGGTTATCAAATGTTAAAAACTCACTGGTTGACAGAGGTGAAAAATTCAGGTCAAGAAATCTGAATGAAAAATCATCTGCTGGTTTCGAATATATCTTGGATATTCTTTACCCAAACTATGAAAAAGCTCTGTGAGAGAGCTTTTCTTTACCCAAACTATGAGAGAGCTTTTCTTTACCCAAACTATGAAAAAGCTCTGTGAGAGCTTTTCCCTAGAGTCAAGGCCATTTATTTCTTTGGTACTCTTTGATTCATACATCAGTTCTCACAGTCACAAGCTTAAAAAACAGCAGTCTACGTAAGCTGTACCATTTAAATGTTTTTCTCCATACTTAGGTAGCCGACAGCTAATGGGATAGAAAAATGCACCCACCTTTTTCTCAGCACTGCATTAAACAAAGGTGCCATTATGACTGAACAAACTCCTTCGCTGTGTAAAAGAAAAGTTGATTACCACCCAGTAGATTTTGGGGAGGTTAAGGTTATTCTTAATTTGTGTCCTTAAGGACTTGAGAATTAATTTAGGAGGAAGGAAAGACCTACTCTGGCAGTGCAGTCATTTCTTCTCTTTTGTGGAAGCCTGCCGCTCTCAAGATTCTTCTCTCCACCTTCCCTTCCTTGAAATGTGTCTTCCTGCTGTTCTTCTGTTTCTCTCTTCCAGAGTCTGTGCTGTTTTATTTGTTGGCAGCTGAATGGTATTTATTACACTCCCATTTTCTGAAACAATTGAAGAACTTGATTGTTGTATATCTCTTATTACAGCCAAAGCTTTCAAAGAAAAAAGGAAATAGGAAAGAGAAGTTAAGCAAAGTTGACATTTTTCCTGCATCAGAGTAAAAAACACCTTAAGGCCTGAAATCAAAAAGCCTAGACTTGAAGACCAAGTTATCAGTGCTGGCAGAAATACATCCAAGTATAAAAACAGCTTTGCTGAACAGATTTTTCATATCTTCTCAGTGCCAGCTCTAGGGAACTTGAATTTCAAATCTAGGCTTCTTTGATTGTATCACTCAGTTCCCTTTAATCTGGTTACCTCCTAGTTATTCTACAGGTTTCTTCTTCGATACTGTTTTTGCTTCATAACAACCCATGTTACCTATTTATCTGCAACCACCAAGCATACCCACCTTTTATTTTAATTACTTATTCTCTTACCTTTACATCCCATGAGATTCAGGAGTTCTTGAAATCAGGACACTATTGTATCTACTGGGTCTAGTACATTGACTAATGTATAGAAAATAGTAAATATTTGTTGAATGAATGAATGAGTACTGCAGGTCCTATGAGATATACAGAGCTACGTGAGAAATGTATTTCTAATAATCATTTGGGAGAAATAAAATGAATAAACATAAAACAATTATAGAGCAATTTGTATCCAGATTTTATTGCCTCTAGTGACTGAAATACAGGCACTACTTACTTGTCTGTATTAGTGTGTTTTTACAGGTGCGATAGAATTTCAGACACAAGTGATATCATTGGTTCAAAACATAGTAGTTAGAGGAATCTTTATGGAAGAGGTGAAGTTTGAGTTCAGAGTTGAAGGATGTAAAGAATTTGGATGTATGATGTATTTGGAAAAGTTCAAGATATTACCATATTATACTATATTCATTAGTGCTAAAAACTTGGGGAGAAGGTAGAGTTAAATCAATCCAACAACTGAAAAAAAGACAATGAAGTATAAAGTAGGCATTTCATAGAAGGTCAGTATATTTGAATCATTAGAAACAAAATAAGTTACCACCCTGCAGAGCACAAGGTATTGTTCACAGTACTGAAATAAAATAAACTACATTTAATAGAAACACCCTGAGGAAAATTGCTTTAGAATATTACATCATGAAACTTAACCTAGGAATGCTCATTCTTTGAAACTTTAAAATAGAGTTTTGAAACATGCATTAAACTTCAATAACACTCGAGAACTACCCAAAATAAGGCTATATGCATTTAAAAATTATTTTACTTCTAAATGACAATAATTAATAGACAAAATATTTTATTATTGAGCTATTTCCCTTTTATAACTCTTTAATCAATTTTACTTAATTCTATCAGTCTGTTAATTAAGAATACATTATTTAATATTAAATTTATGCTGTAACAATATAAATTAATTATAGGGCTGAAGTTTCTCATTTACTGGATTAAAACTAGAACTGAAAATCTGAAGTTTCTGATGTGGGTTTCTAGCTCTGAACAGCTTTCATTTTGGCTTTGATCAGAATATGATAGCATTACTTTGAAAATTTATCAAATATAGTTGTTTTTAAGAGATAACTGTTCAGTTCTCAATGTAGCTAATATGAAATGCAAAAAAAAATTAAAGGTAAGTTGGTGTTATAACTAAAAAATTATTCATGATACTGTCATTCTAAATACAGTTTTATATTATGTCTCCTTCTGGCTATTCTGTATTCCTGATGGTTTGTTCCAATACATAGAACTTCTGTCTAAACTTTAAATGAGATCACATCCAAGATTTAAATGATTGCAAGTATGGCATAAATTGGACTAGAAGAACCCCAAAACAATGACCAGTTAGCCTACAGAAACATGCAACATTTGAATGGTTGACAATCGTAATCAGCATAGTCTTGTTTTTGAAAGATTATAATCTGGGAAGGAAAGTGAGCAGCTTTATACCCTAAAGTAGAAGAACAAATAGACAGCAAGTTTTCATTGTGACATTTCTAGGTGAATGCATCTTCTCTAAAATTCTCAGTAGGAGAAATAGAAGTGGTAGCAAATGCAGAAGTATTTCATCAAAGATTATCCTAGTTTCCCTGAGTTTGTAGACAACTCATTTTACCGAATCCTGTTGCTAGTCTCTGAATCCTTAGACTGGGATTCCTCAAGTGAGCTTCAGGGCAAGTGAACTCTATCTTTGGCTCTACATTCATGAGGTAGGTAAGCTGAGATTCGCCATGCCAGAACTGGAAATAGGAAGTGAGAATCTTCAGCATCAGAGAGGCAGGAACCACAACACTGCTCACAAAGATAGCAATATAGTTGTTTCACTATAGATGTCTTCTTTGTGAAGAATTTTGAATTTGTTATAGATTTATTTTTATAGGAAACCAAACGCAGAGCCCATTTTTGGTATATTTTTAGCACTAAATATATTGAGGATTGTCATAGTTGATCTACAAAAGTTATCTTTAATTGACAAGGCAGGATCAAGACACACTTATATACACACATTATAATTGAACGAAGCAGATAATGTTTTCAACATTCCAAATAGTATGCCTTTCCTCCCATGGGGTTCATGAGTAATTTCATATACACATAAAGACATTCAACACATTCACATACAAATTAGTAGCAAATATTGAATTCTGTAGAAGTGCATATACTTATACAGTTGAACAGCTTTCACTCCTATTTGCTTTTTTCTAAAATGTTTTATTTTTGCCTGATCTACAAAGTCTTCAATTAATTTTTGTAACTTTTAGTGATACTCTTAGTCATTAAGCACATGATATTAAGGTCAACTTTTAGTAGAAGGACCACAATTGTTATTTTTAGCCTTTAACTGATAATTATAAACTTAATATTTTTTTTAAGTGTTCAACTCCAAAGACCTGGAGAACATTGGATGGCAAAATAATTGAGATGGATACACAGTTCACCATCAGAGCCAGAGAGCTGCAAAACATCTACAAATGCATTATGCTGAAAAATATCTCTCAAGATGAGAGACTGGATGTACTCTTAACGCTTAAACACACTGTGAAGGTATGTTTACTTTCTCTTAGTTAAGGGGTAGACTTCACTCTCAACAAAAAAAATTAATAGAATACTAAAATAAGCAAAGGGTTTTGCATTAAGTACTGTTTTGGTATATTGGAAAGAATATGGCCTATGTATTCATATTTACCTAAAAGGTCTCAAAATATATATTATAATACATAGAAAATGTAAGCAAATATAACATAATGAATATTCTAAATGTAAATATATCTTTATGCAATGAATGCAAATATATAGCATGAGAATACTATTTAGCTCAGTTCAATAAAACAGCAATTATTTTTTTCTACATATTTTGACATTCCTTTTTTTTTTTTTTTTTTTGAGTTGGAGTCTCACCCTGTTGCCCAGGCTGGAGTGTAGGGGCACGCTCACAGTCACCCCAGCATTGACCTGCTAGGCTCAGGTGATCCTTCCACCTCAGCCTTCCAAGTAGCTGGAACTATAGGCACGTGCTATCATGCCCGGCTAATTTTTTTATTTATTGTAGAGATGAGGTCTTACCACATTGCCCAGGCTGTTCTCGAACCCGTGGGCTCAGGCAGTCCCCTCACCTTGGCCTTCCAAAGTGCTAGGATTACAGGTTTGAGCCATTGCACCTGGCCTTGACATTTCTTAATGAGAAGTTTATTTTTAGCAGTTTTAAGGCAGCACCAGTGTATTTTTATTTTTATTTTCTGATAAATTACTGATTTTCTGTTTTTAAGCCTACTTTAAATGAAAAAGTTAGTGGATGTCACAATTCAAGTTTCCCTAAGAAACAGGCTCTGTGATGAGGTTTACATTCAGGAAATTTACTGGAGAGTACTACCAGGTTATCTCCTGTGAGGAAGTAGAGAAGCCCATACTGGGCAGATGAAGACATTAAATTGTGGCGAAGTCTCAACAGTGACTTCAGCCAGTGTCACAAGATGTATGAAACTGGGAAGGCCCTTCAGAGTTTTCCTGAATTGAGGCAAGGGGCCAGGACTTTTGACCCCCTCGTTGACCATTTAGTGGATGTGGGCTTTCCCCAGACATGCATGACTATAGGTGAGGTAAGTATCTTTCTTTATCAGAGAACAAGTCTCAGAAAGTCTCAGTGGGGAATCATCACCCGACAATTTACCAGGAGGAAGAGAATCAGTGCCCCAGGTCTGGATATGACGTACATGGCACATACTGCTGCTCAGATGCACTTGCTTCATGTTGTACTTTTAGGGGCAGCTCCTCTGTACTTTTAGGAGCACTTGATTCATGTTGTACTTTTAGGAGCAGCTCCAGGATAATCCCTTTATCCTGGAGAAAATTATTGGAGCAAGGTTAATATAAAAAACTACAGTCCTTGTTCTATTCATTGACTTTAAGGCCACAATGGATACTCATGGTCTCTTTCCTCTACCCTCCATTTTAGATTCCCTTTACATTCAACCAGGGCCTTGACTGGTCTAGGTGGCCCACCTTTTGGAGTGTGCTGCACCTTAAGAGTTCTAGACTGCAGGTCACTATGCTCTTCTCAGGCTGAGGTTACTCGCCTTCCATTTACTATCAAAATCAGGCAAAGGTACTACCAAGAAATGCCCATCACATAGGTGCCAAACATATTCTTCCCTGTCCCAATTGGGTAATAATAGCCTCACTACCTTTTGAAGATCAGGGTCAGTTACCTATGTAAGTATGGTGACACTTTCCTTGCCCCAAGGTATTTTGGCCTGAGGAGCCTAGGTGTTAGTTGTAGCTCCAAGTTTAATAAGACTCATGCTGTGTCCTCTGCTGGAAGCATTTTTCCTCCAGGAATTAGGACCTCTAAACTTGATGAACTCACATTTGCAGGGACAGGAAGCAAAAATTCCTCAAATAGTAAGTGAGGCCATGTCTACTTTCACTCCTTTTGTTCTCAAAATAGGGCAGTTTCAGGACTTCTATGTGATGTTCTCCATCACAATAGATTTTACCCCTCAGATAAAAAAATCAAGGGTAGGGAGGTGGTGTCAACTATCAAGTATTTCATTCCAAATATATATTCAAGGACCAGAAAAATGAGTTCTGGGTGGCTGTGTGAACCCAACAGAACTCATTGTGAGTTGGACCTGGGCCAGAACTCCATTTTTTTTTTCACATACCCCGGACTCTCATATGGTCCTGAACCTTTATATCCCCACGGTGGTTAGTCATTTGATTCAGGATGTCCCTGAAAAGAAAGCATGACCTTGGATGAAGCATTTTATTTTTAGCTCATGGTAATCTATCTTCAGCCAAGATGGCTCTCTTCAGAAGAGAACAATCCCAGAGATAGCTCAGTGGAGAGTTATCAGCTACCACAAACTGCAGCTGAGAAACTGAGAGTCTCATGCTGAAGTGGGAGTAATCTGGGTGCTACAGCACAGCATTCATTACAATGGATATGTTTTCCGTATATCTAATTAAAGGGGGAAACCCCAGTATTATTAAGACCATTGGTAAAGCTCTTGCATTTTGTAGATCAAATTGAAGGGAATATTGGGCATATGTTATGATTAATATAAATACATTAAATGGGCAATTCAGATTAAAAAAAAACATTTTGTTTCTGGATTGTGGCTTTTGGATTCTCAAATTAGTAAGATACCACAGAGATACTTCCTTCAGTTTGGCATAGAGATAGCGATTGTTTCCAAATGATCATCTGTACTAACTAATTAAAGTTTGTACATAAGCAGTGGATTGAATAACTGCATAGTTAGTCTGTATTGGTCATCAAAATGGCTCAAATTGACAGAACATATAGATATAGATATCCTAATGACAATCAGTGGTTAACTTTCAATAATAGCTGAAAACCGTCGGCTATATTTATGTCCATCTGAGTGAGCTACATGATTACAAACCTGAGAATTTTATAACTTTTAGTTACCCCTTGTAGGTTCTTTGTCCATAATTACAAAGAACCCCCATTCTGCTGATAAGTTTGTGTGCCTGTCCTTCAAGACACACAAAGCTCTTAAAACACATTATGTAGTTGGGTAAATGGTTCTTGTTGAGAGATAAATCTCATATCTTGCATTTCTGCCTGTCTTGAGAGCAGATGTATTGACTATCTTTATTCTGGACTACCTTTTGAAAGATGTATGTATAGTGACGGCCTTGGAAGGTAGAGATTGATAGAGAGGAAGAAGCAATATGTCCAGAGGTAGGAAATAAGCATGATATTTATGGAGGACAGTAAAAAGACCAGGTTGGCAAAAAAGAGAGTGCACAGAGAGAATGCAGTAGAAATCCTATTTCCTGACATAATTAGGACCAGTAGCTAGTTAATTAAAAAGACCAAAAGATAAATTAATAGAAGATGTCATGCATGTCTTTGTATGTTTAATGTAAAATATTCCTATATACATTTACTTATCAATATTTTGATAGCAGAATAAGGTCTTTAAGCATGACTCAAATGTTAACTGCATTCATTTACGGCTGTGCAAACTTAAAGTATATTTTTAAAAATCAGTTTTGTCTTTTGTAAAATTAGTTGCTTTGAGGATATATATAAATGTGTGTGTATTTATCTGCATGTATGTATATATGTACTATGTAAACATATAAACTTAAAAAACTTATATCTTAGTGCCTTGTAAATAGAAGGGCCTCGGTAAACAAGAGGCATTATTTTGATGACAGTTACTAATACAGACCAGTGAATCTTAAACTTCAGTACACATTAGAATCACCTGGAAATTTTGAGCAAGAGAGAGCATGAATGAATATGAGATAAATGAGTATGATACCTAGACCCCATTTCAAAGCTGATAAATTAGATCCTCAAATGTGAGGATGATAGTAAAGTCTTTTAAAATCTTCCTCAGTTCCCTCTAAAGTGCCTCCAGGGTCAAGGATCACTGCTGTAGACTCTTGTATTAGGCTTACCAAATATGTATGTATATCAAAAAGTATAAAAGAGCATTATTTTACAGTTAATAACTTTACCTTTTGGTTCCTTCATTCAGACTGCGCATCTTCTAATTCTCCCTTGGGCAATTGGAGGAACTTATTTCTATTTACTACTTATAAACATTTCTCCATTGATTGCTTAACTCTTACCCTGAATCTCTCTCATTCAACCACACTCATTCTAAACACACATTTAAAAATGAATAAAATATATATGTAGAGTTTAACAAATATTAAACAGGATATTGCCAACATTCCCAGTATCCCTCTTCCCTTTCAAATCATTATTATTCCTCTTGTCTCCTAGAAGTAACTACCACACTGACTTTCTTAGCAATTATTTCCTTGATTTTTCTTCATAGTTTTAGCACCTCTGTATAAACTCTAAATAATATGGTTTAATGTTGCTTATCTTTAAATTTTACTTTACAAAGGTATACTATATGATTATTTTGTGCCTTGCTAATCTTGCGCAAAATTAAGTTGTAAGATTTAAGCTCATTATTGTATGTAGCTATGGTTCATTCATTTTCATATATTAGATAATATTCCATTGTATGAATAAGCCATACCTTATTTATGTAATCAGTTTGTTTATGGAAATTTTGTTGCTTTTAAGATTTGGCTAATATGAGCAATAGAGTCCTACAAATACATTTCTTTAAAGCACATAAGGGTAGAATCATAGATGATGCATTTCTTTAGCCTTGCTATTGGATAATGCTAGGTTTTTTCCAAAACCAGTTGTACCAGTTTATACTACTATTAGCAATATTTCATGTATTTTGGATTTAGCATTTGGCTTGATTGGTTGGTAATTTTGTATATAAATGTAGTGATTTTAAACACGTTATACTGAATATTTTTGTGTTTTGTGTAGGAACATGAATGTAAATTGACTCATGAAATTCTAGAATTGATTGACAGAGAGGTTGACCTTATGATGAGAGGAGTTAAACGTCATAACCTTGAAGGACTCAGAAAAAGAATTGCAACACTCTTTTTTCATTATATCAAAACACCTCTGTTTAATCCTGAAGTTGCAAGATACCTTAAGGTATTCTACTTTGTTCCTTGTATTCCTTTTTCACAATTTTAAGATATAGTATAGTCAAATTTTACTTTAGTTCTTTACCTGGAATCCATGTGGAAGACCATCTTATCGACTAATTATCATTTGAATGATTATTTTTTTTAAGTTGATAAGCTAAAGTTATTCATTTGCCTTCTTCTATATATACATTTCCAACCTTGAATTCTTTCCTAATCTCTGAACCAACTTTCCAACTGAATATTGCATTATGTTGAAGGCATTGTGATCTCTCATACCTCCATGCTTTTATGCATACTGTTGCTTCTACCTGGAATGCTATTCCTATTTCACCAGTCAATTCCTATTCACTTTTTATGACTCAGCTTTCCTGTTCTTTCCTTCATAAGGGCTCAGAGAGAGTAAAACTGTATTTTTTATAGTCCACATTACACCTTGTGTTTCTTATAATACTTGTCACAGTTATAATTATTACTGAACAGATCTATATAGATCTCCTGAGAGAACTTCAAATGCAACAAGCATTTGAATTAAACATCTTCTTAAACTCTAACATGATTAGGCTTCTGTGGAGATTTTATTCTCTATAGCCAAGATAAATGCCTCATTGCCTTCTTAAAACACTATTAGTAAAGTCTTAGGAGAGGAGTATTGTCAAATAATTATAGTAGTTAATGCCAATTTTATTTTCAGTTATAATTTAAGAAGTTGACTAAACATCTTCAGTTTTTTTAACACAACAAAATTTCAATATTTAGTCAAAGCTTCTAGAAGAATTAAAATTGTTTAATTTTTATGTTATTTATTTTAAAGTGATTTTTAAAAACTTAATTATATTACAAAAAGAATATTAAATATAACAGAAGTTCAAGAAAAAAATTTCCTATTATAGTATTTCTTATTCAACCAATGTATTTCATTTAGCTAAACTACCTTCTGGTTCTTCTCTATAGACTTATTCAGTTTATATTTGGAGTAATACAATAGATAGAATTTTATATTCTACAACATTTTACATAATATCACTTTTTTGCTTTCGGCAAAATTTACTCCTTTTGATGAGTTCTGAAAAATGTAAAGAGTCTTGTGATCAATAATACAGTCAAGATAAAAAGGTGGTCATTTCATCCCCCCAGAATTCCCTCATGCTGTCACTCTATAGTCAGTCCTTCCACCATCTAATTGTAGATTAGTGTTTTGGCAAACACTAATCTACAATTTATTTTCATAGTTTTAGCTATTTCAGAATGTCATATAAATTAAATCATACTGTATGTAGTCTTTTGAGACTGACTTCTTCACTTAGCATATTGCATTTTGAGATTTATCTATGTTTTTAAGTGTGTCATTAGTTTGCTGGTATAGCTGAGCAATATTATTATTGTCTGGATATACAAGAGCTTTTTTTTTTAGTCTACTCACAGTTGTAGGAATATTGGGTTTTGTTTTGAAATCTGGTCTTTTATGAATAAAGTCACTGTAAACACTATATTATAGAGTTAAATTCTAAATGAAGCCTTCTGCTACCATACTCGTAATGGGGATTGATTATCTTTCTTCTTGCATAATTTCAGATGGATAGAGAATATTTTTTCATGGTTTTATAATAGTCTATCCATCTATAAGGGAGAGGTGGGGTAGCTCATGAATATAACTGATGTATTTGTCCTGTTTAATGCCTTGGAGGCAGGAAGATAAAATAATTGTTCAAGATAAACTAAATATGGAAATCTCAGAATAAGAAAAGAATATGGCGAAGTCTTCTAGTTCTTTGATAGTATCCCTAGATTACTCTTTTTTTTTTTTCCTCCAGAAGAATTGACTACCTTTAAATTTACATGTTGTTTTATCTCCCACAATTATAAGTCATGGGACAATGAAGTTTTCAAAGAATATTACTCTTTGGAAAAACAGAGCTTTTAGGAAAAGTAAAGCAGAGTAGAGGAGAAAGTGAAGAAAGATAACAGAAGTAAAACATAAAAAGAGATTATAATGGTAGAATACTTTAAGTTCACCTTGAGTAAGAGAAAAAATATTACAGAGTATTAATACACATGTCCTTCTTAATACAAAATATTTTTGTAAGTTTAGTATGTCAAATCCAACTCTATTGCTGTTTTATCTTTACTGTCATGGAAGCCAAAGGTACTAATGTATTCTAAACTAGGAAAGACTGCTTTGTATTTGTCATTGTTTAGCTTATGTTGAAAATGTTCAGTATTCATTCATTCATTTATTCGTAGTACTTCAACCCATAATGACTCACTGAATTGATTTTTAAAAAATTTTTATTTTCAAGATGTAGGGTACAATTCAGGGTTAGGTATACAAATAGTCATTGTACAGGTAAAGTTTGTGCCTCACTTTGGTCCCCACTTCACCTGGTTTGAGAACAGGTAAATTTACTGATGAAGGGCTCCCCCCCCCACTACTGCCAATCCCTTTCTTGTAGTGTTATGATAATTGTTCAGAGTCCACTTATGAGTGAGAACATGTGGTACTCAGTTCTTTGTTTCTGTGATAGATCGCTGAGTATTATAGACTCTAATCCATCCAACTTACTGTGAAGTTCATAATTTTTTCCTTCTTTATGGCTGTGTAATATTCCATTGTGTATATGTACCACATTTTTTATCCAGTCTACTTTCTATGGTCAGCACGGTTGGTTCCATGTTTTTGCTATTGTGAATAGTGCTGCAATAAACATGTGTGCATAGGTATCTTTTTTATAGAATGATTTGAATTCCTCTGGGCATATTCCCAGAAGAGATACAACCTCTGTGGAAAACAGTGTGGCAATTCCTAAAAGATCTAAAAATCAACCTCCCATATGGATTGATTTTTTAAAATGATAGAATTATTTCCTGCCTACTGTTTCAAATATGGAGTTTCAATTTTTGAAAATTGTCATTGAATTAATTCAAACATATATTTTAAATAAATGAAACGAGTAGAACAATTGACTTAGCAGGCTTTTTTCTATATGTAGAATCTAGCTATTGCCTATAGGAATAGTGAATATAACATAGTGCCAAAAGTAATCCAAACTATTCTCAAAAATAAAAAGCCTCTGCCTACTACTTTTTTTTCCAGTCAATTAACTTTCTAAGTGACTTGACCACACATATCAAAAGTTGATCAGTAACAGATTTTTAGCATTTTGGGAGGATTGTAAGGGTATACTCCTGAAAACTTAAATTTTATATGGGATAGGAAGTTAAGGGAAAATATGATTTAAAAAATTAACAACTGTTTTATCTCCAGTCTAAGATGTTAGCCGTTGGTGCTTCTGTTGGTTAGTATAGTGTTTGGCCTGGCTTGGCATGTATACCTTTATTTTATTTTATTTTATTTTTTCTTCCTGTTTAGGTCCCTCAGGACCCACTGAAGTTTTATAAGAAGATTTACTTTTGCCGCAGTTGCCAACTGTTTTTGCCTTCTACAGAGTTTTCTGTGTCATCTACCTCACAGCGCATATACCGGTGTCGCCGCTGCATTAGCCTTGAGAATGAGACTCAGAAACGAGAATCATTTTTGAAGTATAAGTGTTTACTTCAACGGCTCTACTATTCAGAAGCTGATTATGAAGATGATTCTAAAATTGCTTTCTTGATGCAGGTATATAATCCATAAGGAATGCCAGTTATAGCTGAAATTTGTCTATCAAAGAGGCTATCTTGTAATCTTTTGTATGTTTCTATGTGTGTGTGTGGGGTTGTTTAATAACTTTCTATTCCACAAGATTGTAAGTTCTGTGAGGACAGGACTATGCCTCTTATTTCCCCTACTCATCATTATATTTCAGTAACTTAATACAGTGTCAAATTTGTGTAGACCTTTGGTATTTATTGAATGAATGAATAACTTTTCCAGAAACTAATGGTACATATACACATACTAGTGTTCATGGATAACAGTAATAATTAGTATATACTGAATGTGATTATAATGGTAAGTAATACAAAGAGTGAAAACTAAGACTTACAGAAAGCAAAAACATACCTTAGGGAAGCGCTTCAAGTGGATGCTTAAGTAGTCGGTGTGGTACCACACAGTGGGAAAGATCTGACCACAATTCTTTTGGATCAACCATTGCCCTGGATCATCGACCCTATGAGTAATCTGCCTCATGGAAGAATGTCTCTCAACTCTGCCAGTTCGTTAGGCCTGACTTCCTAACTTAACCATGACTTTGTTCTCTTTGATTATCCCAGGCCTTTTATTTGGGTTGTTTAGGCCAGAGGAGAGTCCTTGTTTTTACAAAATAAAATAAAATTCCTGACACTGGATTTTTGTAAGGGAGTGAGAAAAGAGAAAAACTTATTGCTGATATGATATTGTCCAACATTAGCAATTTATTAATGAAAGTAACTCATAAAGCTCCATTGACCTTAGTAATGATATTTTTGTTCGTAGACTGTCAGATAGGTCAAATTTTCTGTAAATTCAAGTTATTAATTAAAATCAACTAAATTGTGTTTAATACCAAATAGGAAAATAGGCATTACTATAAATACAAAAATTTATGATTTTCCAAATGTAACATGCTTTGTTAAAAAATTCTTCTGGATTAGTAGCAACCAAACTTTTTAAACACAGTCTATAGTAAAAATTTATTTTTGTCACAACCTTATTTAGGCATGTCTGATGATAATAATAACAACACTCAAATAGCACCTCTATGACTCTACATACTTTATTGATTTAATAAACACAACAATCCTTTAAAAACAGGTATTACTTACATTCTGCAGATGAGGAAACTGAAGCACTGAGGGCTTAATTATCTTGCTCAGGTTTATGCTAGTGAGTACCAGAACTGGGAGTTAAAACTCAGCAATCAGTTTCTCAGAGTCCATACATGTAAACACATGCTGTTCGACCTTAGAAACAAATGTTTCCAAAACAATGTTTACCTTTACACCATGATTTTTATTTGTTTATTTATTTGATTTGAGAGTCTCATTCTGTTACCCAGCTGGATTGCAGTGGCAGGATCACAGCTCAATGCAGGCTTGATCTCCTGGGCTCAGGTGATCCTTCCACTTTAGTCTCCCAAATAGCTGAGACTACAGGCATGCACCACCATGCCCAGCTAATTTTTATTTTATTTTATTTTTTGGTAGAGATGAGGTCCCACTATGTTGCCTAGGCTAGTCTCGAACTCCTGGGCTCAAGCAGTCTTCCTGCCTTGGCCTCCCAAAGTGCTGGGATTACAGGCGTGAGCCACTGTGCCCGGCCTTGATATTTTCTATTTAATCTAAATCTACTCATTCTAATGTCCATTTAGAAAAGATTGGTATCATTTAAGAGGTAGCAAACCAAAGTTTGGAAAACATAGATCAAAATGATTACATTAAAAAAAATAGAATTAACATTTTATTACTAAAGATGATATTTACTTTAGAAATTAAATTCCTATATGCTTTTCTTAAAGATCTGTTGATATGACAGGTATTTATTTCCTTGCTGGGAATCTTAGCTTTACTAGGGACTTAATAGAAATCACCTCCAAGTGCCACCTCAATATTCCATATTGTATTAGGGTTCTCCAAAGAAACAGAACTAATAGGGAATTACATATATATATAAATATATATATATATATAATATATATATATGTTCACATTATATATGCTATACATATTCATATATGTTATTATGTATATGTTTATACACATTATATATATAACAAGGAATAAATGTGGAGGCTGGCAAGTCCAAAATCTAGAGCACTTATGTCCTAGCTCAAGTCTGGAGACCAGCAGCCTGCTGTAGAACCACGAAGAGTCAATGTCTCAGTTCAAAGGTCGTTTGGCAGGCAATTTCTCCCTTATTTGGTGGGAGGGTCAAGCTTTTGTTCTATTCAGGTCTTCAACTGATTGGATGAGGGCTGTCCATATTACAGAAAGCAATCTACTTTACTCAGTCTACTTACTTTAATGTCAATCTTAACTAAAAAATGCCCTCACGTACACACTCAGAATAGTGTTCTATCAAATGTGGCTACCCTGTGGCCTAGTCAAGTTACCACATAAAATTAACCTCACAAATATTGAGTGAAAAAATTCTAGGATAGCATTACAACCTTTTGGATAAGAATAGTCCCCATGTGATGTGATTTAATTTACATACTCTACCTGTTTAGGGTTTCTGTCTCTCTTGTCTTGACCCAATGTCTGGGGTTAGCAGAAAAATATGAGTGTTCAATATCTCCCCTCACTTGTAACTGGTATAATTTTGATTAACATCTGTTCAGAAATATTACTTCCAGGCATAATTTGAATGCTTGAACTTTCTTATAGAATAGTAAAGCTTGTGGACAACAGCAAAGATTGTATTAAATATACTAAATTTGAATATGATGACATATAAAATAAAAAGACAAAAGCTAGGCTATGTAAAAAAGTAAAAGATCTGAGTGTTTTACCTCTAGTCACCTAGCGTTTCAGTAATCCATACAGATACTGCCTAACATAGTAGGCAATAGTATTGTTCTGTTATTGCAACAATTTCAAGTACAATGACTACTTGAAAGGTAGACAGCTCTCAGAGGCCTCCAGCCACATTTGACATTTACCTACAAATAAATATTTCATTCTCTATGACACAATTTAGAAATTATAAATGCAATTGAGCAACTAACTTACAAACAAAAATGTGACCAAGAAACACATTTTGAATATAAATAAAAATATATGAAACTTTAAGTTTTAAAATCTATAGATTTATTTTCCATACAGCTGCTGTAGTATTGTCTTTTTTAGCATTCAGTAAAAACTAGAATGCATTACTTGAGCTTAACATATCAAATCTATTTATGAAACACTGTCGAGGCTAATGGTGACAAGTTATTTTTGCTTTTTACTTTGGGAAATTGTTCAGGTTTTGTCTGCTCGTTTTACAGAAAGTTTTCTGCTTTCTCTCTTTTCTGCACAAACCTTTTGAAAAAATGCTTCTTTTCGCTATGTTTATACTTTGTTAGGTTACTCCTCTTTGGCAATTCTAAATTTGTACATATAAGCACATGATAAAAAGTCATTCCAAGAGTTTTAGGTAATACAATTTAAATTTTAAACTGTATTAATTTTAAGCTGCATTAATTACATTTTTACAATGAAAAGTTATCTTATTTCCCCTTTTAAAACAATAGTCATTTAATTAACACTAAGTGAATTACTTGATCTTTATTAATTCTCAGTTTCCTCATTTGTAAAATGGCAGTAAAAACTTTTAAAAGGTCTCTATAGTGGCCCTGAAATTAAGATGATAGTTACTCATGAATTTTTAAAAAATTTCCATAGTATATATTTATTAAGGTCAAATAAAGGTATTATTAAGGTTATATTTAGGTAAAATTAGTTTGCTGGAGAAAACCTACACAGCTTCCTCTGAGTTAAAAAGGGGGTCATTACTATGACTGTGAGACTGGTAATGTAGTTTTAAGCAGAGTGATCGGAACTTTGGTGAAAAGTAAGTGGCTATGTGCCACTGAAACCTCATGAATAATATTTCCTTTTAAAAAATACTCTATATAATTTGTCTTCAAGAAAAATGATAATCTTAAAATGTTATGTTTAGAATAAAACATTATTTTTTAAACTCACTTTGAAATGCAGCTGCAAGATATTCAGTACCTGATAGAGAACATCTGGGCGTCCCAGTCAACTCTCAGTGCCTGGGATGACCTCAATGATCTGGTCATGGTCAGATGGAATAAATCCCGAGAGTGGTCGCCCTGGAACTGCATTCTTCTTACCAAAGATGAAGCGACTGTTCATCTCAAGCTATCAAGTATTGAGGAGGTAAGAAAGTTGAAGTTTATTTGGGAAGTCAACTTAATCACTGGAATTACAGAGATTACTTGACTGCCATTCCAATATATCACATGCATAATTCAAATGTGTTCACCACGTTAAGAAACAGAACTCATGGATTCATAGTAACAAAATATGTGGATGGTAGATAGGGTAGAAATTAAAATTAAAAAGAAGCCAAGACATGCAAAAAGTAAAGATAAGAGATATGAACATGTTACACTTTCTAAACATGATACCACTCCCTCCTAATATCAAGTTCAAGCGTATTTTAAAGTAAATTTCAGGAAGGTAGAGATTTCGTTTAGCTTTTTTGCATCAGTATCTCTGACAACTACAATAGTGCCTGTCATAAACTAGGGGCTTAATAAGCATTTTTTGGACAAATAAATATTACCGCCAGATAGATGTTATAGAACCCAGAATATGTCCTTCTTTGCTTAATTGTCACAAATCTGCCTAAAAGCACACTCAGTTTTCACATACATTTTATTCATAAATTTTGTGCTCTGACAGGGCATGGTTCTAAGACTCCATTTTTCATTTGCTTTCACCTAACTAGAAGTGGAACAAGCAATGAAACAATTGAATGCTATTTCCCATGGTTTCAGTAACTTACAAGATTCAAACTGTATAACATTTTGATGAACAGAAATGAGGGGCCTCTACTGGGTTCCTAGAAAGCTCCATTTACACAAAGCCCAGGATCCCAGGAGCTGATACCAGTTCTCTGTCTTCTGTTGATTAAATTGCTGCACCTTTAATTCCATGCAAGATGTCAGCTAAGGGAAAATAAATAAATGACATTGAATATACTAGTTATTTTAAATAGTGCTGTTCTCTGTTGTTTATTTTTCATGGAGCGGAGGGGGGATGATGTAAAGAGAAGAAACTACTTAAATTTTTAGCTTTATAAAATGATTGCTTAGTTCTTTCTTTCTTTCTTTCTTCTTTTTTGAGAAAGCAGGATTTATTGAGAGGACAGAAAAGCTCCCGCAGTGGGAGGGGACCTGAGGGGGTTGCCCAATTGCTTAGTTTTAAGATGCCAGGCTAAAAAGAATTTTACTCTAGGGATTGAAAGAAAGGGCAGCAAGAAATTGAAGCCACGTTAAATGTTATATTTAGTAAGCTAAGCTGCCTCATAAATATTTATTCACTGGAAGCATAGCCAATACGAGCAATATCATTTCATCTAGGACCCATGATGAGAATGAAGTTCATCCCCAAAGCTGATGTTCCGGTGCTCCTTCAATTAATCCACATAACTCCCTTTGTGCATTTAATCAAATTACTGCAGTATCAAATTAAATGTTCTATTCACATGCATTTCTAATTTCAGGGTGCCAATCTAATCGACTTTTTGTAAATAGAGCAAAGGTTTGCAACCAGACAAACTCAAAAAACATTTGCCTTTTGGTTTGGTGCTGTTGTAATCTTTTAAGTATTAATATTCAGTCTAGTTAAAGAATAGTTTATATCTTGCAGCAAGTTAAAGCATTTTTCAGAGTTTCCTTAATGCAGGATGTAAAAAACTTGAAAGTTAAAATGATCTTAACTTTCTGCAATTCTGTCACAGATTATAGGAAACACATGGAAAAAGACTTCTGTGAACTCTTTAACAGAGACAGATTGCTCTCTCATTGAGTGCACATTGGCCAAAGTAGGAACAATCATGAACTTAACATTAGCAGTCTTCATCTCTGTCACTAACAATTCACAAAACATTAGGACCTGTTTTCTTTGCTTCATAGATTTTTAGAAAGATTAGTTGAAAATATAGAATCCCTAAAGAGGATAAAAGCATCCCTAGCTTTGAATTCTGGCTCTATCATTCGTGAACTGGGAGAAATTGGGGAAGTTTGTTAAGTTTCAGTGTCCAAGTTTGCTTATCTATAAAAAGAAGATAATGGTATGTCATCATAGGGAAGCTTTGAGAACTAAACAGACCATTATTTAAAGCTCTCAGCATAGGTTTTGGCATGAATCAATGTAGGAGCTATGTATATGAAAGCACTTTATAAATTTTTTGGTCCATTTTGTTTTTAATTATAATAAAATCAATACATTATTAGTTTTAAAAATTTGAACAGAATAAAAGAGTGTAATGTAGAAAATAAAAGAATCCTGAAATCCACATTTGTATGTCCGCATTATAAGAATAACTACTTTTTCTCATGTATAATGTATTGAAATCTTTCTGGAAGTTTTCTATTTATGTGTAAATATATGTACATTTTTGTAGCATTGATTTCATATTAAATTACTCTAAGACTTGGATTCCTTGCTTTACTTAATAACAAATATTGGACATCTTTCCATATTGTATTATTCTCTGAGTTACTTATTATTTCCTCAAATGTATGTACCATAATGTGTATATGTAATCTTTAATGATTTTTATTTCTATAAAGTCATTTTGAAAAGCTATAAAATTGTGTGTATGTATAAATTAATATAGCATAACAGAAATGTGTTCGTTTTTCTTGAGTAAAATATTGTACTAAGAAGTGGTTCCGGCTGGTCATGGTGGCTCATGGTGGGAAGATTGCTTGAGGTCAGGCATTCAAAACCAGCCCAGGCAACACAACAAAACCGTATCTCTACAAAAACTAAAAAAAATTTTTAAAAATTAGCTGGGCGTGGTGGCACATGCTAGCTAGTCAGCTATGTTGTACAGCTACACAGGGGGCTGAGATGGAAGGATTGCCTAAGCCTGGGGGTGGGGGGATGGAGGATGCAGTGAGCCATGATCATGCCACTGCACTCCAGGCTGGGTGACATGGCCATCTCTAGCTAGAATAAACGCTAAGAAAGTGAGGCACATCACACCCTATGCAAAACCAGGCCTTGAATTAAAACAAATGGAAGGAGGATGAATATTGAGATGGTAATTAGCAGTGGTGCGAACTTAGGTCAGAGGGAGAATTGGGGAAAACTTCCAGGTTAAATAAAGTATCATAGGAACTGAACCCTGAAAGAAGAAAGATAAAGTGAAAAAAAAAAGTTGTGTTCTGGACGGAAAGAAATGATAAGCAAAAGCACTGAGGTATGACAGTGTTTTTACCTGGCAAAATGTATCCATTATATGTAATAGAATTTGATTTTTTTCCTTTGCAGGGATATAGACCTTCATTTATTCACAAGATCAAACACAAACATATCCTGGCAAAGAACTATTTTTCTCAGATTCCGGTGCTGGCTTCATTTATACTTGATGATGGCAAAATAGATGAGATCAGAAGGAAATATCACCCAGACACAACACCTAAGATTATGGAATCTCGACAGTCTCCTCCTTAGAAGACACAGGAGTACTTGTTTGATGATCAACATTTTTGTCCACTGGTAATAGGGTAATACAGAAGTCACACAATATGGAAACAGAATTTTATCTTTCTATTGACTTTTTTTGGTTTTTAAAATAGTATTAAAAGTTGTATAAAGAGAAAACATGTTTATATAAATGTGTTATTATTAGGCAATTTAATGCTAAATTTAAATGCAATTTTGTTACTGAAGTTAATATTTTAAAGTAAACAGAACATGTTCTTTTAAAATATTTTCATATTAAATTAAAAAAAAAATTCAAGTGTATTATGGTTAAAATCTCAGTCAAGTAAAAACTAGGCTTAACTTTCAATCCAAGTTATTATTTTAGTCAAAATATAGTTATAGGAGACCAGTTAGTATATGGATGGAAGGAAACATAAAATTCTATTTCTTGAAAATCTTTGTGTGTGTGTGTGTGTGTGTTTGTATGCCAATAAAACTTTATTTTAGGGAAGTGTGTTGGCTCGTGCCTGTAATCCCAGAGCTTCAGGAGGCCAGAAAATCTTTATAAATAGTATAAAATAATTTATATTTCAATATAGATTTCAATATAGATTTAAATCTTGGCTGTTTATGGTCTACTTTCACCTTCCATTCTTCTCATAATCTCTATAAACACTGAAACTGTTTATAAAAAAAAAATCTGCATTCTGTGCTAGAAAACAGGATAAACAATTGTGCTATTATTAGCCTAAGGGAGAAAAACCCTCTGTGGACAGTGGTAAAGTTCTGTAGGAAGAATAAACTTTGTTAGGTAAACTATAATAACAAACCTCATTCTCCAGGAAACCAAAAGACTGACCTTGACCACAAATATATCAGAGACCTACTATGATAAACAATGGTTTATCAGTCAGTTTTGCCAGGAAATAGATGGTGAGCTCAAAATAATTAAGGAGAATTTATTTACAAAAAGACTACTTGTAAGGTGTCAGCAGTGTGTAGGGAAACTAAGGAAACAGTGCAGGAACCCAGGACCAGTGTCACACAAGCTACCTCTACCTCTCCAATGTACCTGAGAGAGCTAAGCCCAAGAATCCAGAATGAGAGCATACAGAAGATAACCGAGAGGACCACTGACCAGCTGCCCAGGGAACAACCCTAGGTGATCTCTTGAATCAGAGAAATAAGTACACAGAAGTAAAACTGAAAGCGTGGGCGTAAGTTGATGTAATTCATATGGCTTCAGGGGAAAGAACATGGTTTATACCGGGAAGTAGAACTGGATAACTAAACAGGAAGTATTCAGACAAAGAATGGAAAGTGAAGCCCTCTAATTCAAATAACAATTTATCATTCTCTCCCTCACATGCAACATAATTATGTATACATAAAGATGTATATAATGGTTCTCATATCAAGCAACAATGAAGTTATTCTCTTAAATTTAGTGATCAAGAAGTTAAATATTTATTTTGTATAAATATTTGACAACACATTTTCTAGGGTATTAAATTTTTCTTTACTTAGCAAAAGCATAACACATGACAGTTGTTCTTAAGGAATTAAACATCAAGGAGAAAATTGCTATAATGTCATTTTCTTTTGAGTTGGAGTCTCACTCTGTCACCCAGACTGGAGTGCAGTGGCCGCTCCTGGCCACTGCAGCCTCGACCTGCTGGGTTCCGGCGATCCTTCTGCCTCAGCCTTCCAAGTAGCTGGAAATACAGGCGTGAATAATGTCATTTTCAAGATCTTGTAGACAATTCTGGGAACTTTCTTAAAACAATAAATTACAGGTGGGACTAGATTGGGGACCATTCAGATCACTGATAGACTGGCAACAATGTAACACACAAATACAAAATTACACTAGAATGCAAGTGGCAAGATTTTTACAAAACAGTTGAGGGGATTCCCATAGCTCAGAGAAGGAAGGCTTGGAGAGGCAGGCAATGAGAGAGACGGGGACAAATGAAGGATTCCCCTGTTGACTCAGTACTGGAACAGCTGTTGACAATATTTGCTTATAGGAATAGGAAGACTAGTGGAGAAAAACCGGAGAGGGGAAAACAGCAAAGTTCAAGTCTGAAAGGACATAGAGGTTGGGATTTTTATTCCCCTGGTTCTTCCATCTGCTTCTTGATCTGTTGTTGTCAGTGGCTGCATTTCTCTCCCTAAGGCCACAGCTCCTGTGGGGTGGTCAGTCCTCCAACACTGTGACTCTTTGAATTCTGGAAATCATTCTTTCCTTTTCCTCTTTAGCTTATGGGTGATATAACTTTCTTTTGTAGCTAGCTTTAAGGGGCTTTGTTTTTCTTGTTGATTTCTTAAATAGTGTCCTCTCCTTCGTAAATAGTGCTTCTACTAAATACTTCTCAAGTTGACCGGTTTGAGTGTGCCGACAGGGCACACTCCAAAGCAGTAATTAATCCCAGGAGTGGTCTCGGGAAACTGACTTCAAAATGGAATCTTAGAATAGGGTTGCTCACATATTTGAAGAGCCTCGTTATATGGATAACCTCCTCGTTAGGGGGGAAATGAGATAATGGTAGTAATATGCAGCATGTGGTAGCATCATGATGACTCAAATTACCATCAGTGGTGGCATAGAATGGGGTGCAAATAAAGCACAGGGAAATCCAAGGACTGAGACAATAAGACTGTGGGCTAGGATGGCTTTTTTTTTTTCTTGCACTAAAGAGGATCCGTAAGAAAGGGATAAATCGAAAGTCATGCATGTCCAACTCAAGGCTCAGATAGAAGTTCAGAAAGCCTTTATGATAGCTAAATGAATTTCTTATCTCCCGTATATGCAGGGCACATGTGGCTAAGGATTAAGTCTGGAGCCTGGTTAAGGTTTACAGAAGCATATTGTCAATTAAATGTGCACTCTTATTAGGTATTATGTGAAGGTAAGGATGCTGGCAAGGGAGAACATGGTGTGGTCTGATATGAATTAACTTGTACACTGCAAGAGTTGCAGGATCATGTCAATATTTATCAAGAATCTGGGAGGTGTGCATGAAAGCATATTCCAAAAATATTAGATTAAAAAAGGATAAAGTAAAATGATATGAAATTTGTGTTCTTGCCTGGAATTCAGGATTTAATGTATCGCTTTAAAGCCCTGAGTGTTGCTAGACATGTTAACTGAAGCCTGGGCTCAAAAGTGGCCTAGACCAATAAGCTTGAAATGCTAGAACTTTCTTGGAAAACATTAAATATTCAGAAATATGATTGTTGGAATTGATCTATTTATTATATGCACCCTTCTCAGACACTTTCTAGAGATATCGGTACTCTACAGGAGGCATTAAGAAATGCCGTGGTGAGTGATTGCCAGCATCAATGGAAGGTTTTGTGATGACAGTGGGTTTATTGAAAAGGAATTCGATCCACTGATCCTGAATGCTAGAAGCCAAAAGAGTGAAGCCTGCTCATCAGTTAAAAAGTGAGTGGAGGTTTAATAAGAAGCCCATAACAAATAACAACAAATGATAGTAAGGTTGTGGAGAAATTGGAACACTTGTACACTCTTGGTGGGAATGCAAAATGGTGCAGCTGCTATGGAAAACAGCATGGAGATTCCCTAGTAAGATATACGTAGAACTGCCATATTATCCCACAATCCTACTTCTGGACAGTTATCCAAAAAGAGTTGAAATTGAAATCTTGAAGAGGTATTGGCACTCTCGTGTTTATTGTAGTACTATTCACAGTAGCCCAAATATGGAAAAAATCCTGAATGTTCATGGCAGATGAATGGATTAAAAAAAGTGGTATATACATACAATGGAATATTATGCAGCCTTAAGAAATAAGGAAATCCTGCAATATTTGATGAAGGAATGAACCTGAAGGACTTTATGCTAGGTGATAAGTCACTCGTAAAAGACAAATACTGTGTGATTCCATTTACATAAAATATCTAAAATCGTCAAGCTCATTGAAGCAAAGGATCGAGTTGTGGCTGCCATGGGCTGGGATGGGGGAGCGTGGAACATTTTAGTTATGCACAGTGAATATGTTCTAGAGACCTACTGTACAACAATGTGCCTGTAGACAACAATGCTGTATTCTGCACTTAAAAATATGTGAAGAGAGTAGATCTCAAGCCAAGTGTTCTTACCACAGTAAAATTTCAAAAGAAAAGAGTGCTTAGGGACAGAGGGATTTGATCCTGCTGGGATTTATAACTGGTCAATTGAAAATCAGACCCTTAGGAATGAAATAGGCAGCTGTATTCATTCCTTGGGGCTGTCATAAACAATTGCCACAAACTGGTTGGCTTAAAAAAACAATACTGGAGGCCAGAAGTCTGAAATCCAGGTGTCAGTAGAGTGGCATGCCCTCTGGAATTTTTCATAGGACAATCTTTCCTTGCCTCCTCCAGCTTCTGGTGACTTCCAGCATTCCTTGGCTTCCTTGGCTGTGTCACTCTAGTACTTGCTTCTGTGGCCACACTGCCTTCTTCTTGTCATGTGTCTGCCTCTTACAAAAGCACTTGTCATTGGAATTAGGACCCACCTGGCTAGTTTAGGGTGAACTCATCTCAAGATTTATTGATAGCTGAAAAAAAAAAGTCACAATCACAGGTCTGAGTAACTAGGACATGGACTTATCTTTCTAGGGGTCACCATTTAGCCCGCTACAGCAGGCTACTATGGTTCCACTTAGTATATACGAGCAGAGAAATTTTAACTGTAGAGGGAAGGAAAAATTTTACTCAAAGTGTTGCATTGGAAGTCGTTTATAGAGTTCTTTTACAGAGTTCTCAGACTTTAGCCACTTCATAGACCTATAGCCCCTTGATGAAAGAAGAGCCTGATTTTTTGTTTGTTTTGTTTTTTAAAGGAATGACCCTTTCACACACTTACAAATGTTTGCTGTGAATGTTTCTCTATGCCTTCTTCAGTGGTACTTGAGCCATTTACTAGGGGACAATACCTTGGAGAGAAGCAAATGCCCAGACTTTCTATTAGTTCTTAGATATTGGCTCTAAAATGACTCAGGTTCATGGATGTAAAACATCACTGTGGCCCACTGGCCAGAATGGGAGTCTTTGGTGGTTGAATTGATTCTTGGCCTAAATTTATCTAATAATAGGT